TTTTAGGCCGTTGTTATTTATATTGGTTAGTAGTAGGTATTACTGATGTGTATTTACATTGCATATGTAGTGTACTTTAAGGCCGTTGTTATTTATGTTGGTTAGTAATAGGTATTACTGATCTGTATTCATTTAAGGTGCGTTACGAATTAGTAATGCGCTTAGCGTAATTCGTCAGAAGTATGGATTGCCACTACAGATCTCTGCTTTTCAGATAGGCAATCAGTTTTTATCTCATAGATTCCTAAATAAATGTTTGAGGAGGCTATCTCATCTGCTGATCCTAAACCCCTAAACCCTGATCAACCTTTTTCTTCTTCCGATTCAATTGCTTATAGTCGGTCAACCGATTGATGTGGAGCAGAATGACAACCCGTCGGAGCAGGAGGTGGATGCTTACCAGCAGTCGTATCTCAACGAACTACAGTCTCTGTACGACAATTACAAGGTAGGCTTACACCCATCTAAATGGCTAGAAAGTACAGTCGTAGCTTATGAACTACAGTAAGACGGGCGTACGCACACCCAGATGGCGAAAAAAAAAGTACTGAACAACGGCTTGGACCTGGGCATTTCCATCGGCACAGACAGATGAAGTGCTTACCTGTTATCATACATATGCTTGTGTTCTCGCAACACATTGAGACCTCGTGGACAACTAGCAAATGAATATATTTTGACGCAGAAATCGAATAATTAGTAGTACGTATTTATACTGGACCAGGCACGTACCCATAACAATTAATGTAGACAATAGTGAAGAGTTGTACAAACATGACCCCCTGCATGCAAGGAATAGGACGCACATTTTACTTCATGGCACTCTTGGTGTCCGATGATGTACCTTCTTAGTACTAATTTTGACCATCCAGTATCTGTAGTACGAGTTATGGTCACATAGTATCCTTAGGATTGCTGAAGTTCACGAAGCAGGTTTTTTGCAAGAGCATAGTAGACTCATCGCCAATGTATTCAGCATTTCCTGTAAGGGTTGTAGAATCTAATCACAATATATATATATATATTATATTTTGTATATGTATTATGTACTTGTATGTGTGTGTTTGTATATATATATATATATATCTTATTTAAATATAGATATATATATATATTTATATATTATCTAGATATATATATATGTGTGTGTGTGTGTGTATTTTTATGTGGTCTGGTTGGGTAAGAGTTATAAGCTTGCACACATACGATGTGCCGGGTCCAATTTTCAGAATCTCGAATCTTTTGACTGACTATACTATACTATATCTCTCGAATTGCCCCTTTCAGGATAAATACGCTAAAAACCGCAAGCAAGAGATGAAGTTCGTGGACTAGTTAAAAGCCTTGCTGCATTAAGAAATTAGCTACCGGAGCACTTGCTGCATAAAGAAATTAGCTACCGGAGCACTTGCTGCATCAAGAAATTAGCTACCGGAGCACTTGCTGCATCAAAAAATTAGCTACCGGAGCACTTGCTGCATCAAAAAATTAGCTACCGGAGCACTTGCTGCTTCAAGAAATTAGCTACCGGAGCACTTGCTGCTTCAAGAAATTAGCTACCGGAGCACTTGCTGCTTCAAGAAATTAGCTACCGGAGCACTTGCTGAATTCGATTCTTTTCTGTTTTCACTACCACCAACATGTTCAAAGCATTAAGGGTGAATGCTGAATATCCAAACGTCTGGTGTTTCGGGTGTAACTTGCACCACATAACCAAGATTAAATTTCTATAAACTCTCCCCGCTGATTAATCTTCATAAATATTTAGTAAGGTTATGGCGAATGTGAAACAGAGCATTTAAAATCCATTGCAAATGTGTGCTCCAGCGTGCTGTTGCAATCGGGCTTGGGTATTCCTTCCGTGTTAGGAGGCTACTTACTAGTTGTTCGTTCAAGTTGTGCATGCGTCCGCGTTCGTTCTTGAGCCTATAAAACATCGTACCTGGTGAGAATAGGAGGAGATGCGGCCAATTGAACATGTGTATATGAGAGAAGCAGCAATCAGTTGCTATGTGTACTAAGTTGATCTATCAGTGAGAATACTCACTAGCTCAATTAAATCTGCAAGCCTTAGAATATTTCTCAAGATCAAGATCGCCACACTTCAGACCGCTGGCAACAGTCCTTGTTCGTGTGAATGCGTCCTGTTAGTGTATACAAGTTGCGCTCACGCGTCTTGGCACGAGTGATCTTGAACCAATTTGTGAGGACGGAGCGGTGCACTGGCGGCCACGACTACGGCGGCGATGATAGCGACGGTGGAGAACTTCTTTGTTGATATACCTGTCTGGATGACTTCACGTCTAGTTTAGGAGTTGCGATACAGACTGGAAGACTTGCAATTCCTATACTGGGCGGCTTATTATACTTGTTTTTACATTTACAAGCTGTCTTTCAAAAAGAAGTCGCTCAAGGTCTCTATATACATATTTACATACATATATATATATATATAATATATATATATATATATATATTTATATATATACAGTAAAATATATAAACAAAAATATATAGATACAGAAATATATATATAGATATATTATAATAAATATACACACATATATATAGAATGTGTGTGTGTATGTGTATGTATATGTATATATATATATA